CATGGGCAAACTGCCCTCAGTTCCTTCTCTACCACAGAGTTCCACAGGGGAAACTCCCAAGAGAGGGGAAGGAGGGTGGGTAGTGGAACATCTTGAATAACCCAAGTTACTACACAAGTTAAGCTCTCCTTTGAGTAGTGTCCCTATGGATGCTCCATTTCAAGTGACTTCCAAGAAGTACCTCCATAAGAAGGAGGGAGCTTCAGAACAGAGTTCAGTACTGAAGAGAAAACTGCATTACCAACTGCAGCATCTGATCTAGAGGCAAAGCAGAGCATAATGGTTGGAGAAAGTATGTACAGAGGTTCAGGTTGCAGCTCTGCAGATTTCAGTAACTGGAACATCTTTGAGTAATGCCACAGACATAGACTGACCTGTAGAATGAGCTATTACTCTAGAAAGAGGCTGAATATCAGCCAAATCATAACATGCAATAATATACCCCAAGATCCATCTTGAGAATCTTTGAGAGGAGAGTGCAGATCCCTTGAATATGTCTATAGCTGAAACAAAGTGTAGAAGACCTTCTGAACAGTTTGATTCTGTCCAGATAAAAGACTAACACCCTTCTGACATTAAGGATATGGAAGGTAGCTTCTTGTCTAGTCTGATATGCTTTTGGGAAAGTAATTGGGAGATAAATGGTCTGATTAATATAAAATTCAGAAGACATCTTAGGCAGAAACTTGGGATCTGGTCGCAAATTACCTTTTCCTTGAGAAACACTGTAAAAGGAGGGTCTGCCATTCAAGCTCCCAGTTCTCTTACCCTCCGGGCAGAAGTGCTGGCCACCAAGAAAGCTGTTTTCATGGATAAGTAAAGCAACAAACATATTGTAGCTAATGGCTCAAAAGGGTGTTTTGTAAGGTAATTACAAACCAGGTTCAAGTCCCATACTGGAGTAGGTTCTCTAATCTGATGCAAAAGATTCATCAGTCCTCTGAGAAATCCTGAGTTTGCAGGGTGAGCAAAGATCAAAAAACCTTCTACAAATGAGTAAAAGGCTGTAATAGCTGCCAAGTCAACCCTGATGAAATTCACAGTGAGACCTGAAGTCTTTAATTGGTCAAGGATGGTGGGAAGAGAAGAGAACAGGAGAGAGACTTGTTGACAGGTATACCAGTGATAAAATCTCTTCCATTTTTGAAGGTAAGTATTTCTGGTAGATGTTTTCTGCTGTTTAATAATATATGTTGCTCCTACCTTGAACAGGAGGTCTCTGTCCCCAAGAACCATTCAGGAGCCACACCTGGAGTAGCAGAACTTTCAGATTGGGGTGAAAAATCTGACCAGCATCCTGAGACAACAGAACGCCAACTAGCTGCAAGTCTCATGAGTGGACAAGAAGCAAGATGAATGATGTAAGGTTACCAGACTTACCTCGACCAGACTGTTGCAATTAAAATGACCCTGGCCTTGTCTTGTTTGATTTTGTTCAGTACTTTCCAAAGTAATGTTGGAAGGCCTCTCATCCATGAGATAAGGAAGAAATCCCCCAGTAATTGAGGGTCTAGTCTCTTTAGCAAAATTTCTTGCTCTTTCTGTTGGCGGCAGTTGCAAAGAGGTCGACCTCTGGAAGCACCCAAGTTAATAATACGTTGTTGAGGACTCACGAGTCCAGCTCCCATTTGTAATTTTGGGGAAAATGCCTGCTGAGGTCATCAGCCACTGTGTTTTGCACATCTAGAAGGTAAGAAGCTGAGATGACTCCTGGGTGGGTATGCACCAGAGTTTTATTGCTTCGGCACGGAATGAGGGGGAACATCCTCTCCCTGACAATTGATATAAAACACAAAGGCCACGTTGTCTTTCATGATCTTGATTGATTTGGCTCTGATCAGAGGAAAAAACGGAAGGCAAGCATTTCTGATCTCTCTCAACTCTAGAAGGTTGACATGGAGTAACTGCTCTTGGGATGACCCTTTGCCTTGGGTTGTGTGAGGTTCCTATTTCCAACCCAAGAGGAAAGTGTCTGATGTTATCACAATGGTAGGGAAATCGTGAATAAACGGGACTCCTGCACAGACCTTGGAAGGATCCTTCCACCAGTTGAGTGACTGCAGAACCCAGTTGACTACAGACACTTGCTTGTCCAGACTGTTTGTTTGGTATGTAGAGTGTCCTGAGTCATCCATGGAGGCATCAAAGACATTACCTAGTGTTTTGGGTTACAAAAACATGGCCCAATAGTTGAAGGCAATTCTTCACTCAGGTTTGAGGTTGAGCTGAATTGTTAAGATACTTTAGGGTGAGAAATATATCAGTAGGTAAAAGTTAGCCCTGCCTGTCACTGCATTCAGAGATGTCCCCGTGAAATCTATTCTGTGACGTTCCCCTGGTGTTACCTGGACTGGTGATCTGCTAGGTCACCCCAATCCTTGACTCTGGGAGCCAGCCTTACCCTGCTCTGCTGTGAGAACCCCCACTCCTGGGTTGTTGACGCACAGCCTCTGGCATGTAAGCTGCTCGTTGGATTGTGCAACCGAATGACACTAGCCAATATCTCCGGTCCCAGACATAACCCTAGGAACCTCCGTTTTGCAATGCCCAGTTATGCCTGCTGGACGCTGCAAGTTTATATGAGTTCGTCAGTTTAACAAAGAAATTGATATGCACCAGGCTTGTTATCCCCAAGGGCGTCTCTGACACGCTTCAAACCAAATGCACTGCTTCAGGTAGAATAAACAAACAAATGTATTAACTACAAAGATACATTTTAAGTGATTATAAGTCAAAGCACAAGAAGTCAGATTTGGTCAAATGAAATAAAAGCAAAACACATTCTAAGCTGATCTTAACACTGTGAGTGCCCTTACAAACTTAGATGCTTCTCATCACAGGCTGGCTGGTTGCCTTTCAGCCAGGCTCTCTCCTTTGATCAACGCTTCAGTCACTTGGTGGTGATGTCTGTAAGATGGAGGTGGAAGAGAGAGAAAGAGCCTGGCAAACGTCTCTCCCTTTTATCATGTTCTTTCTTCCCTCTTGGCTTTGCCCCCCCATTCAAGGTCAGGTGAGCATTACCTCATCATAGTCCCAAACTGACCAGAGGAAGGGGGGTGACTCACTTGAGAGTCCAACAGATGCTTTGTTGCTGCCTAGGCTAGTGTTCTTTGTTCCTTTGAGGCTGGGCTGGGTTTGTCCCATACATGCCCTGATGAAGTGTGAACTGCCTCTCTGCTCTTGGAGAGTTTTGCCTGGCCTGTTTTAAGCCACAAGGACACATTTTCAGCATCATAACTATATACATGAAATTACAACCGATAACATTACTATAACATTACTGTAACAACAATTACTATAACATCACTATAGTAACAATGCTCAGTGCATCATGAGCCTTCCAAAGACACCTGACATGACAAACTTTGCATTGGATACCACACAATCATATTATAAGGATGCACATTGGGGTATAGGGTGTTTCCCTGAGGTTCAGAGCATCACAGAGATGTCCCTGTGAAATCTATTCACTGTACTGGTGTCAAAGCAGACCTCTCAAAATTTAGTTGGAGGCCTATTGTGGAGTTACAAGCTTGTTTGTTCTGCTGACCATTTGTCTCTTGATAATATCAGCCCCTGAGCAACCAATCCTCCTTTGCCGGCTGCTGTTCTTCCCTGATCTGTAGAGAGAGGTCTTATCTTGACCTGTGTGATCTGAGAAGGAGAAAAGGTGTCCCCCAAACATTGGTACTGGTCAGAAATATGCACTAGTTCCAAATATAGCGATATCGGTGCCAACAGTGGTACTGGGATGAAGTCACCTCCACCAATATTAAATCAGCTGGAGCTGTTAAGACTTCCATCGATGGGGCTGACATTGGTTCTGGTGCATATGTTGGGATTAGTGTTGTCACATTTGGTACACATGCCTAAAAGTACTAGTAACAGGCATTGTGCCTCTTCAATATCTAGCCAGAGCTGAACTGACATCACTTGCCCACAGTGAATGAGCAGGCTTAGCGCTCTCTTCCCGGGAGAACAAAGATTTGGGTCTCCTTATGGGAAGAAACAGACTGGTGACAACATGTTGGGTTTTGTATGCTAGCTAGCAGGGTCACTGTCTGACAAAGACTTAGAAGAGGCAGGATCCATGTTGGAAGTTGATCCTCCCTCTTCAAGGTCTGAACTGCTTATCATTGATCGTTTGAGGAAGTATAACTTCAAACAAGTGTCCTTGGACTTTCTTGTTATGAAGGAATGACACGTTAAGTAGCAGTCTGGCACACAGCTGTCACTGAGACAAAATAGGCTGTGGCTGTCCATGGGTGGAATGAGAACATCCCAGGACAGCAACTGTTTGAAGCCTGAAAGCTCTAAATCTACCATTTTGACCTGGATAGTGGGTCAGAGTGCTAAGAGGCAAATTAAATTTAGGTTTTGGGGGGGGTTTTAAATAAGAAAAAAAAGGAGGCAGTAATTTAAAGGGCATTAACACTAACTAGTCACCTAATTTGCAACGGAAGCAGATTCCAGTAAGGGTAGTGGGTGGACACTGCTTGCTCCATCTAACTGACATGGGTGGTAAAAGAGTACCGAGGGATGTATCTGGCCTTTATGCCAGCATGGGGGGAAGGGAGGGTACACATGGCATAGGTGTGGCCCTGCAGACACTGCTATTCAAATATTCCTATCTTGTGAACATGAGGTGTATGAACAAATAGTGGGATCCACACAAACAGTCAAAAAAGAAATAATTTCCCATCTTCTGTTTTCTAAGTGTATAATCCATGCAATGGGCATTTAAAAATGAAAACTGTGAAAAAGTATTTGATGTCCCTTTACTTGCAAAAGATCAATTAATCTGGAAGATTATTTCAATTTTGTTATGTTAACATTTCATTAAATTGAGCAGAAATATACAGTTTTCATTTTCCTCAGTATACAGGAAAGAAAGAATTTTGTATTTGTTCCCAGAGTGACTGTGCCTACAGTCAAACAATCTTCAAGAGAAGTCTCAGTTCACAGTTAGATAGGGAAAGAGAATGAGAATTCATACATACTGTGAAAAGGCCACACATCCGTTCTATCTTTTCTGGATTCCTTGGGCCTCCATTCTTGTTTAACCTCACCAGAAACCGCTCACTAAAAAGCAAAGGAAACAAAGGAAACTTACTTCCAACAAACTTAAATACAAAAGAATAAATATTTCAAAATGTGTGTTAAACCCTATCATTTTTGAATTTCTCAAAGCATAAGGAACTGTATTCAGCGACTCAGGTAGAATTACATTGTGAAGCCATAAGTAATTATTGTAGAAGGCTTTGTTTTATAGGAAGTACCTCTCCATGAAAAGCTGCAGTGCTGATACATCTTATTGGCAGATTATCATACTAAAATAACAGACTTGGGTTAAGGCTATTTTTCAAGTGCATGAAGTCTCATGAAATCACAAGACTTGAACAAGTGCTGCAGATAAGGACTAAAAAGCATGTGGCAGAGCTCGGTGACCCAAGACTAGAATAGCAGGAATGCTGCAGTGCAGGATTGACGTCTATTGACAGAGCTGTTTGGGGTCAGAAGGTACTTCAGGTAAGAACTGAAGTGCATTTGCAGAGCTGTGTAAAGGAAACTTACATAGCACCTGCCTGCGTGATGCTTGGTTCAAGTTAGTTCTGTCTGCCTTTCACTTTCATGACAACTGAAATTCACTCAAAAATGTAAGAAATCATAACAAAAGAAGGATACAGAGATGAGAAAAATGTGTCTGAATGCTTACTCATTTTAAACAAAACCAATAAAATACTGTAGTAATTCTTGAATCTTAGGACCTGATTTACCAAACTTTTTATCATTCATAAATTGAACAGCCCTACTGCAAAGCCAGGATAGAGTCTAAATCAACAAAATGGGGTTGTAAACCAAATCATCCACCCACTAATGGAGACACAATATGGTAGTTACACAAAAGTCATGACAGAGAAGTTACTTATATACATATACAAAACCAAGATCAGTAGATTTAATTATTTGCTGGGCTTGTGACTATGCACTCCTATACACGTCTAAATAACTCTCAGCCTTCAGCTGTGCACCTTAGAATATGTAGCCTTGGTAACTTTTCCAATCTTGTGCAATTATTTAATTATTAATGTTCTTAAAGTGAGACATTTATTTGCACTATTAAACTTAAGATATGGATGGCTCCATGGTTTGGAATAGCATCTGAAACACTTTGTTTCCTAGTGACCATCCCTCTAAGGCTTGTGAAGGGCACATACAATGAGGGAATCTTGCAATTTTTCAATCAGTAGCTCAGGAAGTGTTAAACCAGTTCAAATAGGGTTGCATGGTAATCATCTTCCACAATCTTATTTGGTGCTGTCTACACTGACATTTCAACAAGGTTTAAAAACTGTGCTTAAGATGGCCTCTCAAACTATATGAGAAACCAGACCCAGATTGTTCCCTCTTATGGGGAGCACTGCTTCGTTAAGCTATCTGCAAAACGAACAAGGAGGCTCTGTGATTCAAGTCTACATGCTTGACTCCTCCAGCTTGCTCTCCAGAGCACAGATCCAAGGAAAGACATACTTAAAGCACCCTGATTCGCAGCTGCCCCTGTAGTCTCCCTTAAAGTGGGGTCCGCTGTATGGAGGGGACTTACTTCCTGCATAATACTGTGCTCAGCTTTGTCATCACTGCACAGATGTTCTACAGGGGTGGGGAAGGAATGATGCAAGTCCCCATAGCCTAGTCTGTCTCCTCCCCATGTATAGAACCCAAGACCTGTGGACAACTGCTACTAATAAACAACTCTTGTAAGGATTAACTAAATTCACAGAAACACAGTCTGCAATATATTGTTTCTTTGTACAGTAACTCCTCACTTAAAGTCATCCCAGTTAACGTTGTTTCGTTGTTATGTTGCTGATCAATTAGAGAACATGCTCATTTAAAGTTGCCCAATGCTCCCTTATAACGTTGTTTGGCAGCTGCCTGCTTTGTCCACTGCTTGCAGGAAGAGCAGCCCATTGGAGCTAGCTGGAGGGGGGCTTGGAACCAGGATGGACCGGCAGCCCCCCTATCAGCTCCCTGCACCCCTAAGTTCCCTGTGCAGCAGCCACCCAGCAGGCTATCAATTGCCAGCAGTTCAGCTGTCCCTCCCCCCCACTCCCATGTACTGCTCCTGCCCTCTGTCTTGGAGCTGCTCCCAGGAGCCTCCTGCTTGCTGTGCCGAGGGGAGGGGGGGAAGAGGGGCTAATGTCAGGGTGTCCCCCTGCCCCCTGCTCCTGACCCCCGCTTACCCCATCTCCATAGAGCAGGGGGACACACGACAGAGCTCAGGATGGAGGCAGCATGCTGGCAGCAGCTGCTGTCTCAACTTGCTGATCTACTTAAAAAGGCAATGTACTTAGAGTGCGGTCAGTGTACTTAAAGGGGCAATGCGCATCTCTCACTCACACACACAGGATGTGTGTCTCTGTCTGCCATGCTGTCTCTCCTCCTTCTGTTTGTGCTGCCTTGTAGAGTGTGAGGCTACATTAACAACAATGTGTTAACCCTTGAGGGCTCAGCTGTTCTAGTTCTTCATTCCCTGGGAAAAAACGGTTACCTACCTTCTGTAACTGTTGTTCTTCGAGATGTGTTGTTCACGTCCATTACACATTAGGTGTGCGCGCGTCGCGTGCACGGACGTCGGAAACTTTTTCCCTCAGCGGCTCCCGTCGGGCCAGCAGGGTCCCCCCTCCCGCCAGAGCGGCGCCCTGCTCTAGCGTATATATATCCCTGTGGGCCCGATCCTCCCTTGGTTCCTTCTTGCCGGTGACTCCGACAGAGGGGAAGGAGGGTGGGAAGTGTAATGGACGTGAACAACACATCTCGAAGAACAACAGTTACAGAAGGTAGGTAACCGTTTTTCTTCTTCGAGTGATTGTTCACGTCCATTACACATTAGGTGACTCACAAGCTTACCATTGGAGGAGGGTAGGAGTCAAGGAACAATTGATTGAAGCACAGCCCTGCCGACCACCGCGTCCTCTCTGGTCTGATGATGGATCGCGTAGTGGGCTGTGAACGTATGCACCAACGACCAGGTGGCCGCTTTACAGATTTCCTGGAGTGGAACCTGCGCCAAGAAAGCTGCCGAGGACGCTTGGGCCCTAGTCGAGTGAGCCCTGCTCTCCGGGGCTGGTACGTTGGCGAGCTCATAGCATGTGCGTATGCAAAGCACAATCCATGCTGACAAGCGTTGCGCCAAGATAGGCTGGCCTTTCATTCTCTCTGCAATGGCAATGAACAGTTGCGTCGACTTGCGGAATGGCCTGGTCCGTTCTAGATAAAATGCCAAGGCTCTACGGACATCGAGGGTATGCAGGCTGCGGTGGCTTGGGTCCGTATGGGGCTTAGGGAAGAACACCGGTAAACAAATGTCCTGTCCCATATGAAATTGCGTGACCACCTTAGGAAGGAATTTGGGGTGCGGCCTCAGTTGCACCTTATCCTTATAAAAAACTGTATAAGGAGGTTCCGAAGTGAGGGCTCTCAATTCCGATACCCTCCTAGCCGATGTGATGGCCACTAGAAACGCTACCTTCCATGACAGGTGCATGAGGGAGCAAGAGGCTAGGGGTTCAAAGGGCGGCCCCATGAGTTTAGTTAGGACCAGGTTAAGATTCCATGCAGGGACCGGCGGGCGCGAGTAGGGAAACACCCTCTCCAGCCCCTTGAGGAATCGGACTACTGTGGGGTTGGAGAACACCGAAACCCCCAACTCTCCAGGGTGGAACGCCGATATGGCAGCCAGATGCACTTTAATTGAGGCGGGGGCGAGCCCTTGATGCTTGAGGTGCAGCAAGTAGTCCAGTATTGATGGGACGGAGGCCTGCAGAGGCTGTATGTGATGACGCTCACACCAGTGGGAGAACCTCTTCCATTTGGCAAGGTAGGTCGTTCTTGTGGAGGGCTTCCTACTACCAAGAAGAATTTGCTGGTCCTGGTGGGGGCACCTGTGCTCCGTATAGTTTAGCCAGAGAGATGCCACGCCGTGAGATGTAGCGTCGGTAGGTTCGGGTGGAGTAGGCGACCCCGGTCCTGCGTGATGAGGTCGCGATGGAGTTGGACGGCGATCGGGGCGGTCACGGACAGTTCCAGCAGGGTCGTGAACCAATGCTGGCGTGGCCACGCCGGTGCGATGAGGATGACTGTCGCCTTGTCCCTGCGGATCTTGAGCAGGACCCTGTGGATGAGCGGGAATGGTGGGAAGGCATACCTCAGGCTCCCGCCCCACGGAATCGCGAAGGCATCTGCCACTGAGTCCGGGCTGAGGTTCTGGAATGAACAAAACTGAGGGCATTGGCTGTTGTCCTTGGTGGCGAAGAGATCCACCTGGGGAAACCCCCACCTCTGGAAGATTGAACGCAGGACGTCCTCTCTCAGAGTCCATTCGTGCATGTGGTAGGACCGGCTGAGGTGGTCTGCTAACCCGTTTTGGACCCCTGGGAGATATGCTGCCAGTAGGTGGACTGAATGGGCTATACAGAAGTCCCATAGGAGGAGCGCCTCGTGACAGAGGGGAGAGGATCGGGACCCACCCTGCTTGTTTATGTAGAACATGGCGGTAGTGTTGTCCATCAAAACTGACACACTGTGGCCTTCTATGGTAGCGTGAAAGGTCTGGCAGACGAGGCGAACTGCCCTTAACTCCTTCAGATTGATGTGAAGCAACTTTTCTTCTCTGGACCATAAGCCCTGGGTCCGTAGGTCCCCAAGGTGCGGCCCCCCAGCCCAGGTCCAACGCATCTGTTACTAACGTCAGAGTGGATTGCGGGGTGGCGAAAGGGACCCCTTCACAAACCTGCTGCTGATCGAGCCACCAGCGGAGGGAGTTCGACACCCGAGCTGGGATTGTCACTACTAGGTCTAAGGGGTCTCTGTTGGGGCGATACGTTTGGGCCAGCCCCAACTGTAACGGCCTGAGTCTTAGGCGGGCATGTCTGACTACATGTGTGCAAGCTGCCATGTGCCCCAAGAGTTGCATACAGCATCTAGCCGTGGTCGTGGGAAATTGTTGGATGGAGCTTACGACCCTTTGAATGGCCAAGAACCGTGACACTGGAAGACTTGCCCGTGCCGCCACCGAGTCC